ACATCATAACGGAATTATTATTAGACACAGGTCAAACTGCAGTAAACATATAAAATATTAAATTAAAATAATATAATTAATATTCCTCTGTGAGTATTATACTCATTTGTAAATTTTAATAGAATCAAAATACAAATTCAATAAAATATAATTGTAAGAAATTGTAAGAAAATTTGCATAAGCAGCTGCAAGAGAAAGAGAGAGAGAGAGAGAGAGAGAGAGAGAGAGAGAGAGAGAGAGAGAGAGAGATCTTAGATCTGTTTTTTAATGCTGCACTTTCTGAATTAGTACATACAGTGCGATAAATTGAAATGAAAATATATGTTTATTTCACTTCAACTTATTGTACCGTTCAGAGTGCAGTAAGAAAAACAGACCTCTTATTTGCAAAAACTAAATAAACAGAAATAATTATAAGCAATATCGCCGAATTCATTTAAAGTTGTACTCCACGCGCGATATCGAAAATCGAAACACTTTGCAATATTAATTCCAATCGCGCGCTCGCAGACCTTTCTTAATCAAATATTAATTACTATTTTCTTGAGAGGAAAAAATTGCGCAAGCAATTTCTCTAACTCGCACGTATACGTCTTCAGCGACGTTCCTCGGTTTTGTAATGAAATGAAACTTTCATGCGCGCGAGAGCGTTCAAGATAGACTCTCTCGCGTTGCCGGAGAAATCCGCAGCGGAACAGTCGTTTTGATAGAGCAATTTCAACTTTCTCGAACTGTTAGCGAAACGACGATCAGCCACCGGCAAGCGCGAGAGAGGAGAAGCTGCGAGACGCATTCTCGTAACTGGAAAGTACAGCGACTCGATGCCCTATAATCATCTACGACTCGACATCCAAGTTCTATATTTCACGATACTCTATCGCGGAAATAAAGCCTCCTATAATGGGGACACAACAAAGTCCTTCACGTGTGAAGAAAGAATGTAAAAGAGATTGTACTTTATATTTCAAGATTTACATGGATTTCAACGTTTACATGGAAATTATTTATGTATTGTTTACGTGAATTTTTTCTTTGTAGACATATAAGCAACGTAAATTTTGATAAATTGGATAACAGAATACAGAAAGAAGTCATTTAAATTAATTAATTGATTAAAAATAAATTAGATTTTATGACTATTAATATATCTAATTTTAATATTGATAAATAAAAATATATAAGCGAAATAGAAGTCTTAGACTAATGCAATGACAAAGAATATAGACTTCGATGAGCTATAGATTATTTATATGGATGACTCGTAAAACATAGTTTATATAATTTACATAATTTTTATATAATACGTACACTATTAGAAAGGAGCAACCCAATCTTTTGAATTAAATAATATTTTGTTACTTTTAACTTTCATATGTATTAAAATATAAATTATCCATTTCTGTAATTAATTTCAAAGTAAACAAAATTCATATTAACGTATGCACTTAGGAAACAATAAACTAAGTTTGAGTCAAATTTAATATATTTTCTTAAGATAAATTGTTTTAATTAAATTAATATATTCAGTAAGAATAGCATCAATATATAGAAATGATTAAAAATAACTCAAATTGGATATAATTTGATATTATGAATTTAATAGTATTTAGAGATAAGTATAGAGTATTATATTTTAAGTGTAAACGTGTACAACACTCTGACGCAAACCAACTACGTATAAATAATTTTGTGGCTTTGCTTTTCTATATATTTGATGATAAAAAATATCTTCGTTAGTTAACTTTTTTATTAATAAATAAATATCTTTTTGTGTAAGTGCAAAATGCTTATCAACAAGATTCGTGTGGCGAAGCATTAAATTCCACGGATAATCGAGTTGAGGATGAAGAATTATGACCGACTGCAGGCTGACAGACACGTGCTATGCGCTTGATAAATGCCAAGGTCGAGTTGAAGCTACTCTCTGGACGATTCACAAATCGGCCGCTACCGACGTTCCTCCCCCGTAATTGCATAGTTTATCACAAAGACTTTCTTTGCCGGTGTTTCCATCAAAGGCGGGTAACCAACCACCTGAAAACCTCAATATAAACGTCCTCTTCTCTCTCTCTCTCTCTCTCTTTCTCTCTCTTTCTCTCTCTTTTGTCATTTCACCTCTCTTCATCTTTCGGCTGACTCGTGAAAGCTCGTTCCGTGGGGTAATCGGGGAATCGAGTAGTGAATAAAAGGGAGGGGCCCCCTACTCGCTCGAACGACTCTTTTTCGAGGCTGGTACCTCCGATAATCATCGGTCCGGCTGCGAAAATATCAAATGCAAATGGCTGTCACAGACCCCTACAATATTCTTCTCTCTCAATATTCTTTCTCTCAAATCGGTGACGTAGCTATAAATCGAATTTCTCCCTGACAAGAAGTCTGAAGAAGATGCCATAAATATTCATTTGATGCTGCGACGGCGAACAACGCCAACATTTTAGATGTGCAAATCTACATGGTGTCTACAATAGATATTTATATAAGCATCGACAACGTCTCTCTTTCTCTTATCTTTGCAAAGATTACTAAATTCCTAGGGCAAGTATAACAAATGTAGCATCAGTATTTGGGACATGAAAGTGGTAACGTTACCTACAGCGATACCGACAGGAATTTGCAAGTAGTGCTTGTTTAGTTTTGCTTCTTATCAGCTCACCTGAAGTTTACTTTAAGTTAAGAACTCGAAGTCAAATATATATGCAAACGCATATAACTTAGCTTTAAGAATCTCTACTTAGATATACATACATGTTAGATGATATCTCACTGTTAGACAAAATTCGCATTCGTAATGCAATCGGAATGGTAATATTATAAAAGATGAAATCACTCAAGGATTAAATTCTTTCCTAAAAGCTGAAAAAATAAGATATTTTTAAAAACTTTTGAACTTTGGAAAGAAAATTATTTATTCAAATGTTTTGAAATCTTTACATAAAAGATATATATTTCATAAATATTTTTCAATTTCTGGGTCCATATTCTGCCTTTTTTCTCACTATTTGTTTAACCAATGATAGTTTACGGTGATTTGTGAAAGCTATCACTTTTATTCTATGGACCTAAAATAAAAATATCAAAGTTTGTTTTTCTCATTGGATATTATTTTTGGTACTAAATCTCTAAAATGCCTCAAAATATGAAAATAACAGAATAGCGGCCTGTCAAAATATATTTTGACAGGTCACCATTTTATTATCAAAACAACGTTCAACGAGAAAAATAAATTTTAATTTTCTTATTTCAGTCCTATAGAAAAGTTAGAAAAAAGTTCCCAGAAATCGCCGCAGATCATCATTGATGATGAAAACAACAGAAGAAGGAGTTTAATATGGATGCAAAAATCAGAGATATTCATGAATTATTTTTGTGTAAATAAAAAGTTCAAGTTTAAAGTTTTTTTTAAAAAATCCTAAAAATATCTTTTTTGGCTTCTAAAAAAATTCTATCTTAAAATAATCAGACTTTAATCAGACTTAGATAATAGTTTTCTTACAATTTACATGAGAAAAATTTCAATTTTATAAATCGATCGTCGATAAATAATTACTGATTAAATTTAAGAAATCAAATGTTGAACTAGGATTTCCCTTTGTTTTCCAATTTTGTATTTCAATACTATCATTACGAGATCAAAGATCTTCAAAGTTAATACATACAAACATAATGTGTCGAGACAAAGCTTTTATAGAACGCAAATGTATCTCATGGCCGTTAGACTCATACGTAAACGTGTTGCTCACATTGTCAGACGTTGATACGTCGTACGGTAACATGTATTGATATCACAGTTAACAGACAAAGAACATATAACTATAGTACTAACACCTTCCAGCTCATAATTAAAAATGACTATAGTCATTCGAACAATATGAATCAAATATTAATTTTAAAATAATTATAAGCTGATAAAGATGGCAGTTCATTAATAAGACGACAAGAGTAAATAAAAAAATGTAGATAGAAGGCTCTTGCTGAATTTGAACTTCGCAAAATAATATTGAGAGGCTTTCATTGCATGGTTTCATCGAGCTGGAAAGCTTTAATTAAATATCTCAGTATTGCAGTATTACTTACCGTAAAACCGATACCCACGGTGGCCGCAAAGTTTCCTAGCTGGAATCTTCCGGTATCAAACTGGACCAATAACGAAGTCTTGCCAACCCCGCTATCACCGAGAAGGATTGTCTGCAAACACACATGCACGTGAATGAATACCGGATTACGAAAACTTAAACAATTTAATGGAAACGTATATTTGTTGCAAAGAAAAAAAATGATTGCAATTTATATCTCGATCACGAATCTTCAGTTTATTTTCCAATTAATCCTTTAAAAATCATCCTTCATTTTTTACGAACCGCGTCGTGAATTTAATATTTCTCTCTTCGGAAGTTAATTTTCCAATTAAAGTATCTTTCCGCACATATGTCCTTCGTAGCAGTCGTAAATATTTCCTCAATTGCATTTAGCAAGAACAAGCAGGAATATAAAAAAAAGAGCTAACGAACGTAATTACGAGGAGCTAGTTTAGTTTTCTAACTCTAGTCAAGTTAGTGTCTCTCCGAGCGCAATCACGATTCTATTTTGAGATTGTTTTGTCCATTGGATACGGTACCAACGAATAAGAGAGAAATAGAGAGAGAAAGAGAGAAATAACGTGATGATAGTGCATCGGATAGTGCACCAGTTGCAATAAACCACAGCAGTCCATGCAATCAGTAGCAATGTCGAAGTCGATTGCAGCGATAAGCGTAGCGACGCACTGGACTCCATCTTCCAGCCAATATCAATTCGCATTGACTCGAAATCGAGAAATGCTTGTTTAAAACGAATCAATGCTACAGACTATCAACATTGTTTTCAAACCAAGCGGACATCTGTTTAAATGAGCGCATCGCACTCAATTTCGATATAAACTCGATTTGATATAAACATAAATTAAAAATATAATAAAATTTCTATAATTTAATTAACATTAAATATTTTTCGACGGAATTAATGTAAACTTCATTTACTTTATTTCATTCAGAAAATGGAGATAAAGAACAAAAATTCTGCTATCTTTTTTTATTCATGATTTATATTACGTGTAAATATCTTAGCTAAAATTCGAAAAGCGTACGCGTTGCAAAATATATGCCTTGGTGGCAGATAATATATAACAGGAAGAAAGAAATTTGTAGAAACGATTTCTCCCACTGTTTTGTAACTTCCGTACCCGGACCCACCATCGTCGTCAGACAATAGTGGTTGTGGCAGGAGATTGATATGTGCGCTTCGAATGTTCCGCGCCGCGCACGCGAGAATATCAATGCCATCGCTAAAACGGTGGAATAAAAGACAAGGGTTGCAATAACGCAGGTACTATGGTACGTCGATAGTCTGACAGGTGTGCCTCTATTGTCCTAGCAATGGAGGCGGAGGATCGTTGTTCCCTTCCTCATAAAATGTCAGCGCGCGTGCAATAAGTGGTTAAATAACACAAATGCTCTCGACACCCTTGCGCATCGTCCGCTATTTTACTGCTGGTAAAAGAGAAAAAGGGACAGAAGAAAAGAGAGAAAAATGCCCGCGTATGCCCGATATTGAAATATAAATGTACTTTTTTTTATGGATACCGGTGTCATTTTGGATTTGACATTCGCTTGTCGTGTCGCGTGATTCTCTCGGATTTTTATATGACTCGTCGTGTTCAAAATTTAGATAGCCGTTATTATTGATAGTATTCGCGTTACGCTCGGGGATAAATTCTCTCAGAGTAACTGAATGAATATACAAAGGCCGTTCCGATATACACTACCGATACTGAAAATCTATAGTTTACGTATATGGAAAAAAACCAGTTTTATTAAAAATTTAGCTGGACATAGATTTAAAAATAATTTTATTGGACTATCAAAATTCAAAATAATTATGTAAATAAAATATTCAAACATGATAAGCAATGCTGTCAAATGTTTTGACAGTAATCAATTTGAGTCCTATATAATTTTTTTAATAAAATGCAATAAAATTATGTTCAGATTTGTATTTAGCTAAAAGTTTAGATATTTCAGCAAAACTGTTTTTATTAATATAATATAAATTTCAGTATTGATAGTGTATATAGAAACACAATCAAAGTATTACAATATAAAGCATGACATTCAAGTAAATATTTTAGCCCGGATCTACAATAAGTTTTTAAGTCTTAAATCATAAGAAATGGACGAATCATAGTCAATTATTCTCCTCGCATTCGACTGTAATTGATCAATTTCTTACAGATTAAGACTTAAAATACGTAGATCCAAATTTAAGAATTATAAAATTATTAGAATCGTAAGAGTTTCACGTGTGTAAAAAAGAAAAAAGAAAAAAACTTGTAATACAACTATGACTGTTTTTATATTGTTTTAACAAGAAACAAAGATTAAGTACGAGACACAAACAAATAACATGATTCAACTTATTATAGCAGAAAAAGTTTTTTCATTTCTTGTCTTATCAGAAACTATGTCAAACTTATCGCGAAAAGTTGCGATTGGCATTTAGAAAAAGGTGCAATCACGCATAGGGTGTGCAATCACGCGTAAATGATAAATGTATGCAGAAAAATAATGAATAAGAAATTCGAAGAGTCCCTAGCTGCGAACGAGAACTTACTTCGATTCGAGCTGATTCTTAGAATCTCGCTCTTCAAACGGGTTTTTTCGGATTGTCGAGAAGACATCGTTTTATATCGTGTCACCATAGATTTATAATCCTCGGGCACCTCGAGGCGGTGCGGCGTCCCCTTCGCGACAGAATTTCCATTGAAAGATTCGCGGTACCCTCAGGGGGTGGTCGTGACGAGTGTCAGCGAATGTGTCGGCCTCAGGGGCGGAGAAACTTAATTCACTGCCCTTCCTATCCCATCTCACTCTCTCTCGCTTCCTCTTGCGTGATTCCCCTCCTCTCGTTCTCTCCCTCTCTCTCCCTCTCTCTCTCTCCCCCCTTTCTCTCTCTACTGTTGTAATCTACCTCTGTGTTCTCCCCATTTCCTCCACCCTCGATGGAACCCCATTGTGTCTTTGTAGATGGTTATACCGCCGCGCGTTTTCAATTAATTGCCAGTAATCACGGTGGGTGAGCGAACGTTAAAAGCTCACTGCGAGCCAGAGAGGATTTCGGTGTGCGACAATTGCGCTGCGTGAAAACGCTTTTTAAAGACTATTATATCATGAGTTGGAAAATTATTTTTCTCATAAATTTCTTTTGAAAATTAAATTTATAAAGGGTGTAAACTAATAAACATGGTAAAATCTTATATAATTCGCTAATAAAATGTAATATTTTTTTCACTTTGAAGATTATTATAATAAGCTAAGTGTTTATTCTTTATATAACTTGATCAAAAATTACACAGACAATAATTGAGACAAATTAATTAGACAATAATTAAAAATCAAAGAGATTATTAAACATTATATATTATAATTAATTATAATATCGTAAATCTATTGTCACATTTTCTCTTCTGAAATTTAATTTGTCAAAAGATTTGTATTTTTAATTAATATAATTGTATGAAAATATGTTTCATCGTTTTCATAAAAAAAAATTAATCAAAAATCAAAATTAAAGAATCCTAAAGATATCTAATAATTTTTATAACATTTTATTGTTACATATAGCGTGTTGATATCATAAAAATATCAATGCAAAAGAGATCAGGCGAGTTTAGTTCTTCAGACAAGAATGAGATCACAAAGACTTCATCTATCTTTATCGATGACGGAGAATTTATCAATGACCATAAAGTCTGGCTGCCGTTCACTTCTTGCAACAAACGCATTTCTTGTAACTACGTGGAACGCTATCGATTAACAGTTTCATGCAATCAGTCGCGATCATTGTTTCTTCGCAATTTATCAATCAATGGCGATTTACAGTCGTGCTTTTCAGAATAGATAAATATACATATAATTACTTTATCGCACTTGAAAATTTATCTGTATCGCACTAATAGAATTCATCAAAGCCAAAATCAAAGATTTTCTGTCCCTTTTCGATATCTTATTTGTAATAATTATTTATTTTAAAAAATGAATTAACACATAATTCATGTCGCGATTTATGATTATATAAATATTAAAGAACGTGTTAAATTTAACAAACTTCACATGACCAAACAATTCACCTATATTTTTATGCTTATTTAAAATGAATATATACAGACAGTACAAATATTATGTAAAAAATCAAGATAAAAAAATTAAATACTTTGACATAATTTGGAAACAAATTATGAAAGTACATTCGTTAGTAAAATTAACATGTATAATATATTAAAATATATTGTATGTTAAATTATAAAAAATAAATGTCAACATAAAATATTCTAATAACACATTAATGATCACATTAATGATCAAATATGTTAAAAATTTAACGCAGAAATTTTAATAAAAATCGGTTTTAACACGAATACAAAATGATTTTCACTGTATATAATTAAGATTGTAAGTTAAAATATCGACATAATCATCGACTAATCCCTTTTAAGTCTATAAGTCTGTAAGCCTTCCGGTGAGAGTGCAGGCTGTCAATTATTAATAATACCTACGAGCCCTTGGTCGAGTATATCTCGGAACAGCTCGTAACCACGACGGAAGTGTAAAGCTGGGTACGCGATCGGTTACGAAGCCGTCATAAAAGTGCGATCGTAAAACCGACGTACCATGAAGACAAGCCGTAAAGATTTACGAACGAGAAGTTGTAGGATTCGCGAGACCCGTCGCGATCGTCAATATTATTTGGATTCTGCAGAACGAGTCCTTCCTGCAGTTTTCGATTAAGTGAAGGACCTGTGACCCTCGACTGAGGGTTTTGTCATACGCGCGTACGCGTGCTTTATATCGTGTTATTCACTCAGTAAAAAGCATATTCATGTAATATAGAAGGCAGCATATCATACATATGTTTTTGCAGATTTTTGTTATAAAAAAAGACATAATTACATTTTTTAACAAAAACCGTTCAAGACCTGTGCGTTACTTTTTTGTTAAAGAATATATTTTATGCTTTTAAATTTTGAATTCTTTTCTAAAGTACTGTTATAAAAAAAATATAATTACACAATAAATATTTTCTTTTCTGGACTACTATTATAAAAAAAAGATGTAATTATACAATAAAAATATTCATGCACTAAAAGAACAATT